CTTTTTCTAAGTTAAAACTGCTATACGTTGCCTATAGTTGCTCGTTGATTCCAACTGTGGAACAACTCACAAGCTGGGTAGGGTGAAGACATAGTATGAGATGATAAAGCAAATGTGAAAGATGAGATCGAGTGGAGGTGCTAGAGATCATCTCTACCTCACAAGAAAAGAGCAAGAGCTCATCTCGACTTGATGACAGAGGAAGAGCTAGAAGCTCATCTCGACCTACTAGACTTAATCTCGTCTAGACTTGACAAAGGAAGAGCTAGAAACTCATCTCGACCTACTAGACTTCATCTCGTCTAGACTTGACAAAGGAAGAACTAGAAGCTCATATCGACCTACTAGACTTCATCTCGTCTAGACTTGACAGAGGAAGAGCTATAAGCTCATCTCGACCTACTAGACATTATCCCGTCTAGACTGGACAGAGGAAGAGCTAGAAGCTCATCTCGACCTACTAGACGTCATCCCGTCTAGACTGGATGGAGGAAGAGCTAGAAGCTCATCTCGACCTGCTAGACGTCATCCCGTCTAGACTGGATGGAGGAAGAGCTAGAAGCTCATCTCGACCTGCTAGACTTCATCTCGTCTAGACTTGACAGAGGAAGAACTAGAAGCTCATATCGACTTACTAGACTTCATCTCGTCTAGACTTGACAGAGGAAGAGCTAGAAGCTCATCTCGACCTACTAGACGTTATCCCGTCTAGACTGGACAGAGGAAGAGCTAGAAGCTCATCTCGACCTACTAGACGTCATCCCGTCTAGACTGGATGGAGGAAGAGCTAGAAGCTCATCTCGACCTGCTAGACTTCATCTCGTCTAGACTTGACAGAGGAAGAGCTAGAAGCTCATCTCGACCTGCTAGACTTCATCTCGTCTAGACTTGACAGGAAAAGCTAGAAGCTCATCTCGACCTGCTAGACTTCTTCTCGTCTCGACTGAACAAGAGCAAGAGCTCATCTAGACTTAACAAATGGAGGAACTAGATCTCGTCTTGACCTTCTAGAGTTCATGTCAACATGCTAGAGGTCATCACATCTCGACCTAATCAAAGATGAGTTAATGTGCATCTCGACCCAACAAGAAGTCATCAAGACCTTGATATAAACTAACAAAGTAGTCAGCACATAATGGTCATTGCGACCTCATCATCGAAAAACAGATGGTCATCGCGACCTAGCGAATCAAATGGCTAGTGATCTAGCATATAAGCTACCATCGCATCACAAACAAGAATCGAGCAACACGAAGAGAAAATATTATGGTATTCGCGACCTTACAAAAGAGCAGTAGTAATCAAACATGAGAAATCGTTTATACGGTCATCAAGACTTTACATAACTTTGAAAATAACCAAACCACGAATTATGGTAGTTAACACACTTTTGAAGAGGAATTGTGTTGAATGGCTACTACAAACAAGTAGCTATGCTAAATTGCGAGTTGCCGAATAACATGACAATGATGACGGTTATCACTTATGAATTAATTACAAGGCACATTATGCATGCGAAATTGAGAATGTGCTGGTACATACACAATTGTGAATTAATCATGAGATATCTTTACTCGTGGATTTAATTGCGGATACATCGGGAATTGAAATTTGGGAGTTGGCCATGGACTAGAAATACAAAGAATGAAATAAGGAGCGAGCTATAACTGCGAGCTATTAAAAAAAGCCTCAGCCGACTATGATAAAATTTGAACTACGAGCTGTTACAAAAGCCATGAGCAGGCTGTGAATAAGCCATGAGCAGGCTATGAATAGCCGTGAAGCTGCTACAGTAAAATTTGAGTCGTGAGCAACATACAGAGTAGCAATCGACTTGATCGCGGGCAAATAAACCAAACAAGCAAGACCTGCAAGCAAAAGTGATCAAATTGCTGGTAAGATGCATAAACA